GTAGATTATGTTCTGTGCCTCAGGATGTCTCCGGTCTCAAAAAGGAATCTGAAAAAGTACCAGCAGCAGAAAGGGGAATTAGTTTGCAGCACTCAATACAAATTTTTGAGCTTACGTAAAACCTCGTACCCGTCGGATCAGGTAAGCGGTTACAATGTTTATTCTCACTTTATGCAAGGATAAACATCCGTATAGCTTCTCATTTCACGCAGGGTACTTGGCGGGAATCACAGACATCATATCCTAACTTCAAATCACTTCACTGCCGCGTAAAATAACGCCAAGTTTAACAGCAAAATTATTTTCATGTCTCACGAGTTTTCAGGATTTTTGCAAATATTCTTACGTCGGAATCTTGTTCAAATACTGACATTTACTCAACATTTTCACCTCCCTCAAGATTTATTCAAAACTAATTAATGGCGTGGGGAACACTCGAATTGAAATATTAGAATTTCTTCCAGCAATGCTCGGAAAAAAGGAAAGGAACGTAAAAGACTGAATTGTGCCAAGGTAAAACACAGATTGCGTAATCAATTTGAGGTTTGTGGGGCTTTTTCCTGGGCTGGTTTTGTTCTTTTGCCACATTCAGAGCTATTTGCTCAAGGGGGATGTGTAAAGTAGAAAAGAATAAATTAATCCTTTCTCTCCAAATATTAAAGGAAGCTGTGTACGATGTTGACAGTCCCTGGCAAAAACAAAAAATCAGTTAGAATCGCAGGACTTGGGTGCCACAGGAGGTGTGGAAAACATCACAGNACTGGCATTTACTCAGCATTTTCACCTTCTTCAAGACTTATTCAAAAGGGGAACACTCGAATTGAAATATTTTACAAATATTAGAATTCCTTCCAACAACGCTCCGGAAAAAAGGAAAGAAACGTAAAAGACTGACTTGTGACAAGGTAAAATACAGATTGCATAATCAATTTGAGTTTTTTTTTTTTCCTGGGCTAGGTTTGTTCTTTTGCCACATTCAGAGCTATTTGTTCAAGGGGGATGTGTAAAGTAGAAAAGAATAAATTAATCCTTTCTCTCCAAATATTAAAGGAATTTGTGTACGATGTCAACAGTCCCTGGCAAAAACAAAAAATCAGTTAGAATCGCAGGACTTGGGTGCCACAGGAGGTGTGGAAAACATCACAGAAGGTCCATGTGGTTTAAGCTTGGTGAGTTTCTTCGAAGTCTTTATGAAAAATTTCCATCCAATATAGTTAATAAAAGTGGAAAACCTTAACGCATTCTCTGAATTCTCCCTTCTCCGCCCTTTTCAGGGGTTCAACCCATGCGGGAGAAAGGCGTGTCCAGGATAACTTGCATGCGCATCCTCAAAATGCCGCCATTGTCGCCCGTCAACGACTGGGCAAGACCATACATGGCACAAGAATTGGAAAAGCGTGCCCTGCCCGGATAGCCAATCACATCCCAGAATATAGCCAAATAATAAAGGTTTTAAATTAATATATGGCTTCTCAACTTTTTTTCTAAATGCTCCAAATGGAAAATAATACTGAGTAGTAACTCGATAAAGATATCAGGATAGGTTACCAGTCAATTAAATTAATTATCGAATATTACTTTCCAGCTCGCACGC